GCAATAAAACGGAAGAAAAACTTCCCAGTATGTAAATATGAAGTGATGCAAATGTTGATATAGTGGATGACAGTCCTAACTTCATGCACAAGATGATGAGCTCTGAGCTGGCCGTGATCCTTGAGGAGTGAGATCTCGGGAGTTATCAGTGCTGGCTTCATTGAAAACATCAGCTCAGTATCATTCAAAAAACCAATGCAATTGATAAGAAAGGAATTGTTAAGAAAGGAATAGAGAGCAAAACAGAAGAATCCTTATTCCACTGTATAAACTTTATGATTAATGCTGCTGCGTGCAGTTGGTATCTCATTTCAAGAAGGTTGGTTATAATGGAATTGCAGGTGGTTTAGGAAAAGGCATCATGGGCAGTATTATGCATAAAATTGCTCTTACATGAGAAACCAGCTGACTAGACTAGGACTTTTTAGCCAGAAAGAGACAACTTACGGGGGGATACTAGAGAGGGATATTTTGAACAAAGTTGTAAGTGACATGGAAGTCAGTATATGTAGACTATTTGCTGGTTCTTCACTCAAAGCCAAGAGCTAGGTGTCATTAAAGCTAGCAGGAGCCACAGTCAAAACAGGACAAAATAAGGTGGTTCCTTGTATAATGGGTAGCAGATGTGTGCAACTGGTCATGAAGATGATGTTGCAAATCCAGAAAGTTTACATAGTTTCAGGGGAGACTGGAAAAAGCATTGAAAGAGAGATTCATTGAGGGTTACTAAATAAATAAAATATATCAGCCTAGAGAAATTCCTTGACCTGAAAATAACTGGAGTTAGGGAAAATATTAGGGAAAATACAGGTAACCTATATGCTTGCCTTCCTCTTAATATCTGCATATGGCCCCTGTTTTTTCAAAGCAGAGTGGGACTGGAAAGGATGAATGATAAATATAGTCCTTCTTGTTATCACAAAGTATGTAGTAAAGTTTTCTGCAGCTGCATTCCCTGAGCACAAATGGTGAGCTTACTCGCCTACCTTGACCATCGGTCTGAAACAGTATAGCTGTCTTTATGGTTTTGTTGGCTCAATTAATAAAAATTGTACTGGTGGAAATGGGATTTGAGTTATGGCTTTGAAGGAACAAAGGGTTACATGAACATGTTGTGGCTTTGAATATGAGTTCAGATCATTAATACCCTTTAGCAGATCTTTAGAGCTTCACAAGAGATCTTTAGAACTATGCAGATGCTTAGTGTTCAGCCACAGCAGGATCACAATGTCAGATGTGTATTAGTCGTGATAAAACAAGACTGACTTCAGACTTCTGGTAGGTGAAGTAAGAAATTGTAAGAATATGGAAAAATAATGTAAGAAAAATGAGACATTATGGGCAAGAAATTAAATCAGGAATACTTTACATTCTGTTCTTACAGTTACTGGATAGAAACACCGCCTTCTCGTAGGCTAAATGTATCCTGATTTGCAGAACTGTCTGGGATTTTACTAAGACCCTTGTTCTACAAATGTTGGCACAGGTATTTTTAAGTAGATGCTGCCTCATGATTTTTTTGCAAGATCATGGACTAGACATGCTTAAATCAGTGAATCACCAAAATTAGATGCATAGCACAAAGTCCTAGCCAGACTGAAAACATTATCCAAACTTCTACACAACGGTGATTTTAATTGAATCTACAGTATATTGATGACAGGAAGAAACGGTCTAAAGCTAAAACTTAATCTAAAAAAATCCATTTATCTCATATTGTCAAGTCAATATAAATAACTTTTAAAGTTTCTTTATAAACTCTCGAATACTAGCCACTTCCCAATTTTATCAATAAAAGGGTATATAGTTTTATACTTATGAATGTTAACAGGTCTAAACAACTCAGACTGTTTTCTTGAAAAGAAATGCTTTATTGTCTAAAAACTTGCTTTTAAGGTAATTGAAAATAGAGTTGCTCATATTTAAAAAAAATCCTAATAGTGTAAAACTCTGTCATGCTGAAAGAGCTGGTATGGAATTGCTAAGTGCAGATACACATGTAAGAGTGATGATAAACAATAAACCACATTCATATTTCTTTTCTATAGAAGGTGCATAGTGGTTTGGGTTAACTAATCCTTCAATATTGCCAGCTATGTATGATAAACCATGTTAAAGGATTATTATTTATGGGAATGCTATGAATTTTTTATATCTACACTTGTAGTTTATTTTCATTTTAAAGACTGTAGACCATAACTCTGTACTTTTAATTTTGTATTCAGTATGGGGAGTTAATCCCAGAACGGGGCTTTTTTGATGCAAAATCTGAATGCTTGTGTAGTAACAACAGCTGTCCCCTCACCATGTGGTGTCTTCCATTGCTTTACTGTAGAGATGAATTTTGGCCCAGTGTTTCAGTAATATTGGACACACATGGTTTTAGGTGACAAAGCAGTATGTTTATGCATTCATTTGACTCTCGCAGTTACAGTTGGTTACAGATTAGAACAGAGAGAATACATTCACACCATGACCACCCTCATAGCTGCTTGTAGTGGTTGGATCACAGTAGGCACTGTTGCATCTAAAGACACAATTAACTGTTGCTGAGGAATTGCAAATTCACAAAAGCTCTTTACAGCTTTAGTGGATTTTCTAAAAGCTTTTTCAAAGATTTTCCAAATTTAGAAATGTTTTAGATCTTCACATTCTAAAATTACTGTCAGCTTGAAAAAAGATTAACAAGTTGATATTTTAATGTAGCTAATGAATTCTTGTGCCATGGACTAACTATATAATTAGCTACAGATCTACAGAATGATTGTAGTTTTGTCTGTTATTTAGGAAGATAACCTTATGACTTCTGTAATATTTACAAATGGTTAGTAAAGTTTTGAGCACATAGGAAAATCAAAGCTTACTGAAAAAGTCTGAAAATAAATCTTACCAGAAAGCTTCTGACACATGTACATCACTGAAAAGATCATCTTGATTTCCATGTGTAATTGCTTAGATATGCTTTGGATATGGTAAGAGAGAATAGCTGTGAATTTACTTTTTGAAAAAAAACAAACCTGAAACAACAAGAAGTGCTCCCTCCCCCCAAAAAAAACCCAGCAAAAAAACCCCACAAAGTTTGAATACAAATTAAATAGAAAATTACAGTAAACTGCATGTTAAGTCTAATTTTGAGGTATGAAATTTGCTAATTTTTGAACAAAAGGCTTTTAACCAAAATCTTAGAAGAATTCATTATTTAAATTACAGTAATGAAAATTTTTGTAAGTAAAACGTTAAGTACCCCAAATCTTCCCTTCTAAAGATCTGAGAAATATTTCAGTATAAAATACATATATGGCGTATAATATAATCAATAAATATATGAAGTAGATTAACTTGTTTAATACAATAAAAGCAGTAAGGTTACTGTGCAATGTGGAGATTTTCTATGTATTTATCATTTCTTCTGTAGGCCGGAGTGTAATTGTATGATAATGCATGTAATGTATGTGTGAGATCTCTCACATACACACACATCATTTAAGCATCTTGCGTTTGAATCATCATAGATAATTCATTTTATATTTGTATTAAAAACTATCCGAATATGAATGTCTGAGACTTTCAGCATTGAATAAAGAACTACATGGATCCAAACTAGGACGATTGATGAAATCCTTGCTACTATTGACTATTATTTACTGTCTTTTAAGTGGCAGGTTGTATTTATGCCAATTTATCTGCTTCAGGGAACACTCTTGATAGCAGAACAAAGTGAATAAAAGTAGTTTGCTTTGCAAATGAATGCAAATGGTGGAGCCTTTCGGGAAGCCCTTTAACAGGAGCAATGCACTTTGATTATGAGTGAAGCTGCCATTTGGACATGGTGAAAAGAGCACGCTTGAACCATTGATTGGGGGAGACAGTAAAAAGTCAGGAAGGGCCCCGTTAAGCTTGCAGTGCGGCAGGCGGATGTCAGTGTGGTTAGAGCACAGTGGGAGAATGACAGGCAGGATTAGTGTCAGGGAGAAGCTTTGCTGTAGTTGTGGAGATGGTCCCTGGGGTCACTCACCTCTGACTGTTGTTCTGTGCTGATGGCTCTGTAATGCAAACTGCTTGATATGTGCCTGTTCATTATCGGAAATGGTGATTAGAAGAGGTATGTCATAAAGAATTCCTTAAAAATAAATAAAATGGCCAACTACTGATGGTAACAAAGATTTGGCTCTGCAGTCGTTGCCAAAGACGCTGCAAATGTCAAAGATGGTTACTGCGTCTTGCCTTCTCAGGCAAGTGCGATTTCATGCCTTAAACAGCTATAATTGTGTGTTCCTTGCTTTGTTCACTTTTATTTGGCCGTTACGAAGACAGTTATTTTTGACAGATTGTCTTTATGTAGATAGAGCAAAACATTTTTGTAGCTTTTGGTTATTGTGTGATAGAAACATCCGGTTTGGTTTTGTGGCATAACCGTGTTTTGTGGGGGTGAAGGGTGTTGTTTAATAGTCTTAATGGAATATTAGAATCAACAGATTTCATTCCTGAATCATCCCAGAATGCTAAACCATAGGATGATTACAGTGACAACAAGCTAAAATGACTGTTCTGTTTTGTTTTAGAGGCTTTTTTAAAATGTAAAAATGAGGATATTTTCTTTGTCTTTGCTGAAAAATCTTACATGTGCAATTAAAGAAATGTCTGAAATTTTGCATCTTAAACTGTGATTTGACCTTTAACAAAAGTATTGTTGCTTTTTATCTTTACTGCATTTTATAGCGTTACGTACATTGTATAAATGTTGATAGAAATTAAATGTGTTAGTGTGTACAATATACAAAATGCATTTTTTGAGTGTTAAGGATTTTTAATATCTTACTGTTGGTCTGTTGGTTTTATGCATTTTCGGCAACAACACAGGGAGATGGCACCCAGATAACTGAAACTTTTTTTTTTTAACACGATTTGATTAATTCGTTTGAAGGGTTTTTTCAGTATATTACCTCACAAAAATATGTCCAATATCCCAGTGTAATGAATGTTTTACAAATGTTTTACAGGCACCTGAATGGACAGAGGAGGACCTCAGCCAGCTGACAAGAAGTATGGTTAAGTTCCCAGGGGGGACCCCAGGTCGATGGGAAAAGATTGCTCACGAATTGGGTCGATCAGTGGCAGATGTGAGTTCACTCAGATTTGCATTGTATAGAGAGTGACAAACCAGAACAAGACAGGCAGTGTAGAAGGCAGACATATATGGGGGCAGACATTGTCTTTTGAGAGAGGCTGCAATCCTTTTAGGACCTGGAAGTGAACCATTAACTAACTATGCAAGAAGCAGATGTCAGCCAGTCTCTCCCTCCCCAATTAACAGCTGTAACTGATCAGCTGGATGGGGGATTCTGGTGCTTACAGACTTGAGCTACTGTAACCCAATAACAGAAAAACAATGCGCTTCGGGTTTTGTAGCAACCTCCTTTCACTGCAAGCAAATGTTTGTGTGACTTGGTTAAAGATTACATTTCTGTTTCAAGCCAGTCCTTAAAAAATGTAGATGAGCTAATGGTGTTTAGACAGGTGGTTTCCATTAATTAAACTGAAATATCTTTACAAACTTTAAAACGAGTTACACATATGATACTATTTCAGTCCCTTTTTCTGGATTATAGCATGGTTAATAATGATACTGTGTAAAATGATTAATATCCTTGTTAATTCATATTTTATAGTATTGCACCAGATATCAAAGAAAGCTTGTACTTATGGATTTTAAGTGTTATGATCTTAAAACCCTTAGGGGCTACGCTGTAAAAGACTTTTCCTTTTCAAGCAATAGATCACTAGAACATGATGTAGTGTCTGCTGAGGACCATTTGAAAGCCCTTTCAGCTGACCCTATTTTATAGGCTCTGGAGGGGTTAATGAGAATAATGTTTAAATCTGTTGATGTACATTTTGAGATTAGATGTTCTTTATTATATTTCAGGAATTATCTTAAATAATGGGAAACAAAACCTCTGGCTAGAGCGAAATGTAACCCATTATAGCCTTCTGGACAATTTTCTACTTCTTCAGTGTGTTTTTTTCCCCTGTTGATAATAATCACAAAAAGATATTTTTAGAAGTTATTTTTAAAGACTTAGTGCATCTATACAGCTCTGTCACATATACTAGAAAACAAGCCATTTGCAGTCTTATTATTTTAGAATAACACATATTATTTGCAAATAAGTGGATGTAAGCAAGAAGTTACTAACCTGCTATGCAAATTAAGTCTTTTTTTGTTTATTCTGTTTGGTATTGTTTATCATACTCCTAAGCATTCATACTGCTGAAGTGGAGTGACTTTATTAAAAAGATGCTACATTTTACTAAGCAGATATTAATAGCAAAAATGTTTCACATGGCTTGGTAGTATGCAGTGTGCATGGGACAGATCATTTGAGATTGCTTTGGAAAAACTGATTAATTTGCGTGATATTGATAATACAACCATGTGAAATGATTCCACATATACCCATCACAAAACTAACACTATCTTAAGACTGCCTTTTTCACCCATTTTCTGCTTTATTCCTTGACGCAGGTGTAAAAACATTATTAAGAATCCTTTGTAATATATTTGGCCACCGTACTTGCACACATCTAGTACTGGAAAGAAAAAACAAAGCTCGCTTGCTTCTTCCATTAGGTGAGAAGTCTTGAGCAACATACTCTTCAGTGAATTGGAAAGAGAAATGAAAGATGTATGTTCTAAGAGCTGTCATTTTCTTGTATGAAAAAAGGAATTTTCAGGGATTTTTATGTGTGGAGAAAGGTCTGAGTGTAATCCTTTTTACTTCCAGTGACCTCCAACTATATGATTAATGTAAGTGTTCTCCACACAAGTTTTCACTTCTCTAAAAATTTCCCACTGCTGATAGTGCTAGGTCAGCTTTCCTGACACAGACTAGAGTTTCTGCTACTTTTGTCGTCGCATTGCACAGTTACAGCAATTAGGTTTTAAGAGGAAACACTTAAACAAAAGCTTCCTGGAAACTTCTCTGGATCTCAAACTGTTACTGCATCAGTATCAGAAATGTTGAAACTGGGAACTACTTTAGATATATCCATTCAACTATTGAACGAGATATACAGCTTATCCTTTATATTTGTTGAAGGTGACACAGAATATCATCTAAATGTACAGCAACGATTCTTTTTTTGCTTGGGCATCACCATAGCTGAGTAAGAATTGGCGGCTCATGGCTTAGACAGGTGTACTCTGCACTGGGTAAAAAACTGTCTGGACGGCCGGGCCCAGAGAGTTGTGGTGAATGGAGTTCAATCCAGTTGGCGGCTGGTCACGAGCGGTGTCCCCCAGGGCCCAGTTTTGGGGCCGGTCTTGTTCAATATCTTTATCAATGATGTGGATGAGGGGATCGAGTGCACCCTCAGTCAGTTTGCAGACCACACCAAGTTGGGCGGGAGTGTTGATCTGCTCGAGGGTAGGAAGGCTCTGCAGAGGGACCTGGACAGGCTGGATCGATGGGCCGAGGCCAACTGCATGAGATTCAACAAGGCCAAGTGCCGGGTCCTGCACTTTGGCCACAACAACCCCATGCAGCGCTACAGGCTTGGGGAAGAGTGGCTGGAAAGCGGCCTGGCGGAAAAGGACCTGGGGGTGTTGGTCGACAGCCGGCTGAACATGAGCCGGCAGTGTGCCCAGGCGGCTAAGAAGGCCAACGGCATCCTGGCCTGTATCAGAAATAGTGTGGCC